CCTCCTGTTCTTTTTGCGGATACAGATTAACACGGCTGCTACTCTGAAAAAGGTCACTGGGTCTGGATGTTAGCCCCCAAGCCCAGGGTGCTCTCCTTCGCTCCCAGAAAGAGATACGATTAACCACCGATCTTCCACTCATGTGCAGAACTAAACACAAAACTCATCTCTTTGAGTTAGCTTTGTCTCAGTAAACACACTCATAAAAATAAGCAAACAAAACACCTGCATGCAAACATGCCTTTTCTCTGACAGGCCAGGAAGGACAAAAGAAAAGATTGTTATTTCTACATGAACATACTTGTGAAGTGCTCAGAAACTCCACTGGTGAGTGCAGTACAAATACCGAGACAGATAATTGAGATTAAAGGGAACGAGTGCTCGTAAGGCTAAGAGGACGTGCATATTCCCAGGACTCAATTTTTCATATTGCCTGCCACCCAGATGGAGGCTGTTATACTTCTATGCGTTCCTCACTCCTGAGTATTCAGATTGGCTTGTCACTTGAGCTGATGTATAATATTCCAGTGTGAAGACTACATCGTGCCAGCACACAGCCCCTGCATGCAGGGGTATGAGCTCTTTCCCTCTGAATATTGCTAAATACTAAGATGCATTGCCCATGTGTCTTACTTTACTACTTTACTAAAGTAACAAAAAAGAAATGCACTCTGTTAGATTTTGGACCCCTCTCTATTCATACATCAGATGTTGGATACAAAAATGCTTCTGGTTGCTCTTTTGAGCTGTCTTAACCTTGACAAATTAAATAATTTGTAAAAAACCAAATACCAAAAAAATGTGATAACATTCAAAGCAGGAGAATTACATATTATTGTTATATGAACAGAGAGCTTCAGAATCTGCCCACCAACCACAGCACAATAAATAACGATGATTGTTTTCCTCTTCCTGCTTCCAGGGATTTTCCAAGAATTCTGACCCTGATAATGTTAGATTCTAGTCTCAGAGCTAACTACTCTGTGCTACAAAAAATGTCCTAAACGTAAAATAGCCTTACGGATATGGCACTGTTCTGTATTTGGGAGAAAACAGTACACACCTGGTCAGTCTGATCTCATCTACACTGCTGTAACTCCAGAATAACTCCATCTGCACTGGTGTAACGGAGATAAGAATCTGGTCCATAATCTGTTAAATGCAGTGTTGTAGCCATGTTGGTCCCAGGACATTAGAGAGACAACCTGGGTAAGGTAATCTCTTTTATTGGACCAACTTCTGTTGGTGAGAGAGACAAGCTTTCGACCTTACACAGAGCTGACCTGAAGAAGAGTTTTTTAATCATTTTAGTCATTCTTGTAGCTCATCTCTGACTCCTCCAATTTATTATCATCCTTCTTGAATTGTGGGCACCAAATCTGGACGCAGGATTCTAGCAATGGTCGCACCAGTGCCAAACATTGAGGTAAATAACCTCTCTACTCCTATTAGAGAGTCCCTTGTTTATACCCCAGGATGGCATTAGCTTTTTTGGCCAGAGCATCACACTGGTAGCTCATGGTCAGCTGATTATCCACCATGATTCACAAATCTTTTTCCGAGTCACAGCTTCCCAGGGTAGTGTCCTTCGTCATGTAAATATGGCTGACATTCTTTGTTCTGAGATGTACATATTTATATTTAGATGTATTAAAATGCTTATTGTTAGCTCGCACCCAGTTTAACAAGTGATCCAGATTACTGTAACACAATGACCTGGTCTTTTCATTATTTACCACTCCCCCAGTTTTGTGTCATCTGCAATCTTTGTCAATGATGATTTTAGGTTTTCTTCCAGGTCATTGATAAAAATGTTAAATAGTGCATGGCCAAGAACCACACTCTGTGGGACCCGACTAAACACATGCTTGCTCATTGATGATTCCTCATTTAAAATTACATTTTGAGACCTATCAGAGAGTCAGTTTTTAATCCATTTATTGTTCTCGTTTTTTAATCAAAATGTCACAGGGTACCAAATCAAACACTTTACAGAAGTCTAAGTATGTTACGTCAACACTATTACCTCTATCAACCAAACATGTAATCTCATTAAAAAAAGATATCAAGTTAGTTTGACAGGATCTATATTTCATAAATCCATGTTGATTTGCATTCATTACATTATCCTCCTTTAGTTCTTTATGAATTAAGTCCCATTATCAGTTGCTCCATTAGCTTTCTCAGGATGGAAGTCAGGTTGACAGGCCTATAATTACCCAAGTCATCCCATTTACCCTTTTGAAACATTGGCACAGCACTAGCATTCTTCCAGTCTTCTGGAACTTCCCCAATGCTCCAGGACTTATTGAAAAATCAACGTTAATGGTCCAGCAAACTCCTCTGCCAGCTCTTTTAAAATTATTGGACTGCAAGTTAACTGGACCTGCTGATTTTAAAATGTCTGACTTAAGTAACTGTTGTTTAATATTCTCCTGGGATTCTTGTGGAATGGAAAGAACGTTGTCATCACTATGTAATGAAACTAGATCATCTGGTTTTCCCCAGGTACAGAACAGAAATATTTATTGAACACTTCTGCCTTTTCTGCATTACTATTGATAATTCTACCATGTCCATCCAGTAGTGGATCAGTACCATTGTCAGAATTCTTTTTGTTCCTAAAATATTTTTTAAAACTCCTTGTTCTTAACTCTCCTGGCCATAGACTTCACCTTATGTACCTTTGCTTCTCTTATCAGTTTTTCATTATTCCTGATTTATATTCATTACTATCAATTAATTTCCCCTTTCTTTGTTTGTTATATAATATTTTTATTTTTAACAAACCATTGCTTATGGTTAGAGCTAGCCAAACATTTTTGAATATTATTTAGTGTTCGGGTTTTTTTCATAATTGTTAATATTTTTTTAAAAAATCAAAATGATTATCAAAATTGGGTTTGATAAATGAAAAGTTTTGATAGCCATTTTGAAAACAATTTCAATTAAAGATACTGCAAAAAATAGACAGAGATGAAAACTAGGCCCATTTCAAACCCTGGAAAATAAAAACTACTTTAAAAATGTCAAAAATGTTTGCAAAATTGATTTTTTTCTTTTGCATTTTCCAATCAGCTCTGCTGAGGGTATAACTCAGTTTATACCAGCGTTTCTCAAATTTGTCCACCGTGGCCGCATGCAGCCACTAGGGGCTTTTCTTGCGGCCACAGCCTTTAGGGCGGTGAAGGGGGGGGGAGGGGGCAAAGCAGCAGCCCCTCTGCTGGGGCCACCAACAGTGGTTGGACCCTGACCTCCTCTGGAGACACACAAGCTGAAGGAGCAGGCAGCCAGTGAGTTCCCCACCTTCCTGGGGGTTGGGCTTTAGCCCTGGGGTGGTGGGTAGCAGGCTCTAGCCAAGGGGGTTTGGGCTCCATCCCCGGGATGTGGTGCCAGACTCTGGCCCTGAGCTCATCCCCCTTCACCCCTGGCCCCCCGCTGCCTCCTTCAGTGCCCCATTACCCCTGGTCCCCATTGCCTCTGTACCCATCTCCCCATCCAGGGTTTCATTTGCCACCGGGGCTTGCCAGGGCTAAGTAAGTCCACTGTGAAAGAGAGATTTGTATGTTTGTTAATATCACTTTTCACAGCACACACAGTAGCTAGCAGGTCTTCTTTTAAAAGCAACCAAAAGAGCAAAAGAAACAACAAAAAAGACAAGAATGCTCAAAGCACCTGATTTGTGTTTCTGTTCTGTTTAGGTCCAGTAAAGAACAGAGACCACTGCACATTATTGTTAGCATGGCACCAAAAAAACCCTAGGAAGAGAAATGACAAGAATTTGGACATGTGTATGTGCCTATTTATTCGTTTTTCCTACAGTTAATGAAGTATTTGAGGGGGAAATGATCAGAGCGGGCACCAGCCACAGGCCGCTTGCGGTGAGAACCCCTGGTTTAGGACCAATCTGTAGGGGCTCTTGGAGTTGGAGCCTTTACTTTTGCATCTCCTCCCTGTCCCCTGCACAGTCGGTTTGGCTGCATGAATGCAGGATTCTGCATGTGCTGCATGAAGGTCGTTGGGGCCCTTTGGGCGCCGGGGAAACCCAAGGGCTGTGAAATTATGATGCCTGGGATTATTGCCAGGGCCAAAGGCCCCTCCCCCCAGTTCCATCCTCGGGGCTGGGGGAGCAAATCCCCTCGGCTGGGCAGGAAGGGGAGGGGTCGCGCGGAGACAATAACTCTCCTTTCTGCCGCAGCCTGACCCCATCCCCTTCCCCAGCTGCCAGTCTCCGCCCTCCCCTCTCTCCCCTCCCCATTGGCTCCCTGGGAATTTGGGGAGCCTCTGAGCTAGGGGTGGGGGAGGAGCCGGGCGCGCGCGCTGCATTGTGTGCCCCGCCGCGGGAGCGCGGGATGCGGGGGCCCGCGGCTGTCGGGGGCGCGCCTCAGGGCTCCGTCCGGCGGGTCCCGTTGGAGGTGGCTGGCTCGCTCGGGGCGGCGGGGAGCGGAGCGGAGCCGGCCGGCGCCATGGAGGAGCTGAGCAGCGTGGGCGAGCAGGTCTTCGCCGCCGAGTGCATCCTGAGCAAGCGGCTCCGCAAGGTGGGCGCCCGGCCCCGGGCATCCCCGGCCCGTCCCCCGGCCGGGGCATCCCCCCGCAGGCCCGGCGCTAACCGCCTCCCTCTCTGTCTCTCCTCCCCGCAGGGCAAGCTGGAGTATCTGGTGAAGTGGCGAGGCTGGTCCTCCAAGTGAGTGCGCGGCGCGGCGCACCCGGCTCCGGCCCCGGCCCCGGCCCGTTCCCCGCCGCTTTTGTTCGGCGGCGCCGCGTCCCGGCCCCGCGTCCTTTTGTTTACAAATAAGTGTGTGTCCGTGTGTGTGTGTGTGTGTGTCCGTGTGTGTGTCCGTCCCTCCGTCCGTCCCCCCTCGGCGCACACTTGATCGCCGCCCCCCCCCCCCGGCTCCCGGGCCGCCCCCCGGCTGGGGCAGGCGGCTCCGAGCGGGCCCCGCTCCGGTGGGGACTGGCCGGGGGAGCTGCCTGGGTGTCCACGCTTCGCCTGCCGGGTGAAACCTGAGCTTCGCCTGGATGCCGGTGGAGCTGCGCCTCTCCCGGAAAGGGAGGGGATCTGGCCGCCCGGAGGGGACCTTGTCTGTTTACTCCTCCCGCCAGCTGCTCCTGGAAACCCCTTTCCCTCCCCGTGGGTTTGCTCCGCTTCTCCTCTCCAGCCCCCTCCCCCCAGCACACACATTGTTATCCTTAATCCCTCGGCTCATCCAGGGTTTGCCCCCTGTCAATCAGGGCACTTCACTTTTTCTAGACCGTCTCTGTTTTCTGACCCTTGGGCGAGGGAGGGGAGGCTATTTCCCCCCCCCCCAAAAAAAAATTCAGGACTCCCTTTCCAGAGTCACTTCTGTTCGTTTGTTCTCCAGAGCATCTTCTGCGGTGCACTCTGATGAGAATGAGGTTTGCATCCTATGTAGTGTTGCCATTTCTGCTGGGGCCGTAACATTGTCTGCAGCGTTTGTAACAGAACTCCGACTTTCCCTGCGGATTATTACTCTAGGGTTATTCAAATATGTGGCTTTGGTTGGGACATGGGCACTGTTCTCAGAGTCAAATCGATCCTACAGCTCTCATGTGAGCTTCTTTTGAACAGATGATATTCCATATATTAGTCCAAACTTTAAAAAAATGCTTTCATGTTCCTGTTCTCTATTGTGTGTTTGCTCTTCTTTTCCAGACACAACAGCTGGGAACCTGAAGAGAATATTCTTGATCCAAGGCTGCTCCTTGCCTTCCAAAAGAAGTGAGCAAACTATAAATACTTCTGGTTGTTGTTGTTGGATGAACAATGTCTAATCGATCATTTGGTCTTTGGCTGTCCTGCAAACAGCATACTGAAGGGCTCATCAGGCTGAAATATGATGATACTCTAAACTGACAGTTCAGGTTCATAGACGGCTACCAAGTGTTATAAATGTGATTAATTTGGGGCCCGAGATCAGAATGTATTTTACATAGATTGTGCAATGTGACCGCACTAGCGACACAGACATTTAACTTAGAAATGAGCACTGAGAGCTGAATGTACTTGACCTCTAATCTAAAGGTCTGGGCCATTGGTTGTATTTTCGTGTATGAATGCATGCACAGGTAGAGGCAGTTTCTAGAATTACAGAAACAAACTTATTTTGAAAATCCACTGAAAACATACTTGTTGGAGGAATGTGATACTTATCCCTTGGCAGTGATTGGGTGGCGTGGCGGGGCTAGAGAAACGGTGCTCTCTATAATGTTCAGTACTCGTATATGGAGCTCAGCTCTGCAATTTGATTGCATGATTAGCTAAAGTGACTAGAACTCTTTGTGCACTGGGGTGCAGATTAGCCCTCTGGCTACGGTAGTCACAGTGCTGGCAAATGTTTTGACTTTGCACTAATATAAAACACTAAACTTTATGATTGGCCTTAATTATAGCTGGTTTCTAAATCCACTTCGTTTTTTAAAAAAACCTAGGTATTATTGTGGGTGGCACAATGACCTGTTGACTAGGGTGCAGCAGTTAAAAAAGTGAGTAAGGTACTCTGGTGTTCAGTCAGCCATCACTTTGCTCTGGAGACAGTATTCTTATAACCTCCTCTCCATCCCATAATTCCCATTCCTATATGGCATCTTGCCTCACAGTCAGAGGGCCCTTTTGTAGCCTCTTAGTGTCACAGGGAATCATCTGGTAGAGGACCGCGATGCCTCTTTGCCACCACACCTTGCTGAGAGCCTGTTTCTAGGAGGTCTCTTTCCTTCATATTATTAGTTTCCTGTGTGGCAGTGCAGAGCTTGGCAACTTCTGCCATGCTGCCAGCTTGGCTGCTATAAGAACTTCAAACACAATCTACAATAACAGACTTTCTAGTCCAGTAACCAGCATCTGTTGCTATGGGGTAAATATTCTACATATTCCACGGCTGAGAGCGCTACTCTGTGACTCCCAGAGAGAATTCCTTCCCCCCCACTGCACTTAAAAAATGACCTGGGTGCTTTCCCAAACCCATAACAAACAGCTTGGGTCAGTGTGAAATCTGTAGGCTTGGAGCTCTCCAGGAAAGACTGCCGTATGTTTGTCACAAGTATAACACTCATAAGTATCCGTTGCTGCTTGGATTAGAACTGAGTTGTGCAGCATTTCAAACAAGGTCTCTGCTGATCAGAGAGGAATGAGGCTGGCTCATGGGTGCAGCATTGTCCTCAATTGGTGTGTTTGCAGGGAACATGAGAAAGAGGTGCAGAATCGGAAGAGGGGCAAACGACCCAGAGGCAGGCCCAGGAAACATGTGGTGAGTAACAGTGGCGATATGTGGGGTGATGGCCGTTCTTGGGACATTCTTTGCGTGAAAGGCCCCTTACAACCTCTTGTGTCATAATGTGGAGTGTTGCTGAAATGGATCATACGTCTTGGGTTTCCGTTGGAGAATGGGGGGGCACAGAGCTGCCAGGAGACACTGTTCCGAGAGCAGAATGCACCCAGGAATGTGTCTTGAGGTTGCATATAAGAGGCAGGGATAGGGGAAGCGTCTCTTTATCCAGACACTTTGGTAATTGCTAATCAGCAATGATGGGGAGGGAAAAGTGAGTCACATGGAATTTGAGGGCAATATATTAGATTTGGCCTGTGTGCAGTGGGGGCTGTTTCGCCCTTTGCACAGTAGAGGCCTGCGCACAGTCAGGGATTGGTGCATGTGATGCAGTGATCGGTGGGGTCACTGGGAACAAATTCGTATCTTGCTGAAGAACTTAGCCACACTCAGTTCTGCCAGCTATCTTAATTCAGGCAGATGTTCTTCCTGCTCCCTCTTTATTTTTATTTTAAAGGAACCAGAGGTGCCTCCAAAAATCAAGTCAAGTAGCTCCTCATCCTCCACCTCTTCATCTTCCTCCTCCTCTGATGAAGAGGATGAGAGTGACCTGGAGGCAAAGAGAGGTCCCCGGAGCAGAGAGACTCACCCAGTGCCACAGAAGAAAGCTCAGATTCTGGTTGCGAAGCCAGAAATAAAAGACCCTGTCAGGAAGAAGCGTGGGCGGAAACCTCTGCCTCCGGAGCAGAAGGCAGCCAGAAGGACCATGAACCTGGCAAAGGTGCTGAAAACAACCCGAAAGGAGACGGGGGGAGGTTCTAAGCTGATGGGGAAATTGCAGCCCCAACACAATGCTCAGAGCTCAGGTATTGCTGTGCTTAAATCTAATGTGAAAGAGCCCCAAAGTGCACTGAGTGGGCTTGGTTCAGGGGGCTTATCCGCTGAGAACCTGCCCAATATACTGAAGGGCTCCTCTGGGAGCCCAAACCACGGGATCAGCTGGCAGAGTTCGATCGTGCACTACATGAACAGGATGTCCCAGAACCAGAGCTCTGCAGAGGCCCCAGCCCCAGGGAGGCTGGCACTCAAGTCACAGGCATCCACCAAGAGTAGCCTAGGACTGGACTTAAAAATGAGAAACCAGAAAGGAGCTGGGGAGCCGGGGTTGAATGTGCAAGGCTCCAAAGCAGCCAAGGCACTCGGCAGTGGTGCTGGGGGGGATCAGAAATCGGGCTTCACCGCTGGGGCTCAGACCCTGCCCAACGGCAGCAAGGCACCTGTGAATTCGCCTGCCCCAGGAAACCAGCTGACTTCCAATCAGGAGCTGAACCTTCAAGCTTTAAACTTACAGAGTGTCAAAAATGGGCCGAATTCAGCAGGTGGCAGCAGCCTCCCTCGGCATGTCTGTGGAACTCTGGCCAAAAGTGCCGGCGCCGCAGCTGTGAATGCGGGGGCAGCCGCTGCCAAGGGCAGTGGGGTGGGCACAGTGCTGAATGCACAAAACACTGGGCTGCCGCCAGGCGTGGACACCTGCAAAAATGAGAAACCAATGCAAAGAGCAGCTGCTGGGGAAAGAGACGTGACAAAAGGCGGTGCCCCATGTGTGCAAGAGGGGCACCCCACAACAGAGAACCGCAAGCCAGCAGCCCTGTCTGAAATGAGCACCGGCGAAGAGGAGACCAGCTCCGATTCGGATCGGGATTCTGCCTCGTTTCCTGGTATGGGCCAGAACATGTCAGTCTCCATCCAGACCAGCCAGGACTGGAAACCCACCCGCAGCCTGATCGAACACGTCTTTGTCACAGACGTGACAGCCAATCTGATTACAGTGACTGTCAAGGAGTCTCCCACCAGTGTTGGGTTTTTCAATCTTAGACATTACTGAACCAGGAGGTGCGAGGTGGGGGGATGGGTTCCCATAGCCCCTTCTGATGCCTCTTTCCCATTGGCTTTACCTGATTGTTTCATTGGGTTTTTCTTCAAGTGAATGCCAGATGGCAATGAGATTTGGGGAGGCAAAAATCAGGTGTCCCTGCCCCTATAAGCAATTGGCTTTTAAACAGCACCCCGGCTTCCCCCAACAAAGTGTTCTGCCATTGCCGGTCAGCAATGTTCTTGATGGTTCCTTGTATCTGTGGAGGCTTCCTGGAGCCAATAGAGATTTTCTCTGAGGGCTGGGAGGAGTAGGATACAGTGACACCTGTTAACAGCTACCAAAGGCCATTCTGTTTTTCTGACCACTAGAGCAGATGGCACCAGAGTAAGGCTAACGCTGTGGTTCTCCGGTGGGGATTAAGGTTGGCTGGCTGGCTGCTGAAAAGTGCTTAGCAAGTGACTGGTAAGCCAGGTTTCTCTGTGGTTGGATTTCTTTGCTGTACAACTTGAAATGTCAGAACACCAGGTGCCTGCAACACCAGAACGTGCACGTACCTGGACAGTTGGGGAGAGGGCTATGGGGTCATGCAACATAACAGGCTAAACCTTTTCCTTAAGAAAAAGGGGTTTTTTTTGTTTGTTTTGTTTTGTTTTCCTTCTCGGCATTAGCACAAGCTCCTGGGACAGTCCAACTCAATCCAAATCAGCCAGACGGGTTCCGCATGCTGCGGGGTGGGGGGTTGCCTGGGGATGTGGAGGTTTTCAGGGGACATTCGTTTAAGCCCAGCTACCCTCCTGGGCTAGGTTGCTCCCAGGGATGAGCGTGAAGTGACTGCTAGTTCTCTTGTGATGTTTTGCAAATGAAATGGAAATATTGTTTACATTTTTATACAGAATCCTCCCTCGTTCAGAAGGGAGGTGGGGGGCACGGGGCCATCAGACTCAAACTGTTGCTGCTGCTGCTGGCAAACCCAGGCCCGCTGGGGTGGGAATGGGCGTCACAGCCTGCATTCACACCAAGTGTGGCGCGTTGGGGGTGCACCGCATGAGCTGGCGGCTGATCAGTGGTGTGAGCTGCTGCTGTGAATTTCTCTGTGTGCGTGAAAGACGAGAAGTCAGGGATGGGAACCAGCCTGGACGCTTTAGTGCTCTCCAAATCCAGGCTTCTCCAGACACCCCCACACAGCATATTTGGGAGCATTAAATCACGTGGTACATGCAAATACTTGTGGCAGGATTTAACTTGCTGCATGCACACGCGTCCTTCAGGGCTGTGTGTACGCTCTGCAGCCCAGGGCCTAAAGCCACCTGCTACTTGGAGACCCGTTGTGAGGCTCAAGCACAGTGGAGAAAACTTTTCTCCTAGGTGTGAGGTTTGTAGGTGCCATGAGGCATGGCAGAGCGGGTAGCTTGAGGCTCTGACTTGCCATTAGCCTTGTCTTGATGCTACCACTAGGAATGAGTGAGGGTTAAAACATCGCATTTGTGGGATCCGAATTCCTGCCGAGCTCCCGTTGTCAGCAGGCTTTGAGCGCTGTGGAGGCAGTGCATGCGAGGCTCACGCTGGGTGCTGCCAAGTGCCTTCAATTCACATGGATTTCAGTGGAAACTGAGGGTGCTCAAAGCCTCCTAGGGTGGGACCCAATGTGGCTGGGGTGAGGACAGCGCTCACCTCACTGCCTCTCAAGCAGCAGTTCCCCAGAGACAGCCTTTGGCAGGCTCTGGATGGAGCCCCCTTCAGGCAGACAAGGAGGCTTTTGCTGAACTCGGTTTGAATGCAGCCTTTGCGACTGTAGTGATCTGGAACTCTCCTGGGTGTGTGGCAGGGGCAGCCTGGTACCTTCACGTGCTCTAAGGACAGGCCCGCAAAAGGCAGCCCTTGAAAGATCTCGGCAGCAGGGTGGCCGAGGACTGTCTGGGCTGGTGGGTCGGTGTGTTTAGGTGCCGCTTCAAAGTGGATGGGTTCATCATCTACATCCCTGCCCCAGTGACATGCATCTTACTCAGCCACAGTCTGGAGCACCTGCAATGGCAGTAGCGAGATGCTGTCAACTCGTAAAGAGCCAAAGGCTGAAACTCCATTAAGTGGATATAGGCGCACGTATATTTCTTAGTCTGTTTTACTGCTCTGATGTGGTCAGGCATTTAAAACGCTAGTTCCTTTGGGCCTGGGCTGGCTGCTATGCTGGTCCGGTGGGTAGCGAACGTCAGGGAGGTTTGATAATCTATTGCTGTTGGTGCTGCGGTGTCTGGGTTGCCAGGGAAGGTTCCACTGGATTTTGTATTTAATTCACAAACCTTAATTGGTTTAGGTTTCGTTTTTAACAAATCTAAGCTTGGGTCCAGTTTGAGTTGACAAGCCTTTAATCTTATGCAATGGTTCCTGCCTTGAACATTACCCAGGTGGATTTGTCCTCCTCAAGTGCATGGGACAAGGGGTCATGTGGGTCAGACCAGTTTTGTCTGCGAGGAGGGTTTGTAAGGAGAGTTTGCTTTGAAGCTCCCTGGTGCCAAAAAGTAGCGTCTGTTATTCAGTTGACCTCATAATTCAAATGCAGCCAAACTAACTACTATGACTTTGAGAACTTCAAGAAAAAATTAGCTTGTGGATTCAGAAGCCTGTACCCCTGTGGTGGCCTTTACCACATGTGTTCTGAAGCCCCAGACATGGGAATGCTGGAAGATCCTTTCCTTCAGTAATGAACAAGGGGGGTCTGGATATCTTAAAGGCTGTGTCTGGCTGTCTTCCACACACACCAAATATTTACTAGTTGGCCTTTGCAAATCCAAACTAAAGTAACTTACAATGTGCCTTTTGGAATGTGCTGTCCCAGCCTTGCCCATGGTACAGGTCACTGACAGCTGTCTTGCCCTTATGCAAAGCTGGGTTAGTCCAGGGTCCTGTGAAAAGCAAGGACATGGGTGAGGGGACAGCGGAGAAGACCCTTCCTCCTCAGCAGGATGCACCCAGCATTTTTATGGACCCCCAGGTACACCTGCTTTGGTGATGGTAGCAGCTGGTGTGTGTCCAAAGGGAACTGCACCCTCCTTTCTGAGGTTGGCATCTGAACACGGAGAGGGAAGAAACTGCTTCCACAGGGATGAACCCAGAAATCCTTAGAATAAGGCTGGTGATGGATCTGTGTAAACAACCTCCTGAGATGGCCACTGAAAAATGGCATTTGATGCTGGTCTGAGGAGGGGCCAGTTGATACAACTGTATTAAGACGATAGAAAACTGCTTCTCCATCCCTCCTCCTATAGTGTCAGTCCCTATGTTTGTACTTTGGGGCGTCAAGAGGGTTGTGCTAGTGTAGGACAGGGCTTGGACTGGAGTGACTCATGGTGGGTACTGGTTTGCACTGGTGCTGCATGCCTGTCTTCGTTTACAACCAGTGCAAACCACTATCAAAGTACTTACGGTGCAAAGTCCTACAGCCTAGACAAGAGCTACGTAAGATGTCCCTGTTCAGAATTCCAGTTCTAATTAAATTGTATTTCACATTTGGTGGCTTGGTCCCACTCAAAGGCATTCTTGTCTTTCAGAGTCTGGGTGATGTTTTCTTGGGATTCTTGACTTTTGCCCTGGAAACTTAATACAAATGGAAACTGGCTTTTTTTCAGCACCAGCCACTTATAAAACTGGGTTTTTTCCCCCTCCTGTAGCAGTGGGAACCTGCTTTGCCAATGCTAACATTGTGCCTTTCTGTTAACCAGCTGTTTCAATCCCAAAGTTATAAAGACTGTGAAAGTGATCATCTGGAAACACCTTACTTTCATCTCATTCTTCCTCCCCCCTTTAATCTGGCATTAAATGTGTGGACTCCCCTTAACAAAGTGTGTGTGTGTGTGTGTGTGTCTGAGTGAAAGTTTAACTTTGAAGTTAGCCTCTCAAAGGCAAATTGTGCGTTTTAATTTAATCTTTTGTGGACTGAAGTTTAAAAAGCTGGTGCTAATTGTGTTTACCAATAAAATTAGTCTTCAAAGTCTACCTTTTTAAAAAATTTGCTGCTATGAGTTTGTGTTTTAGTTGCATGTCAAACAACCAATTAAAGGTTTGTCACTATTTTTAGTCTTAAGGGGTTTCCCAAGGGAATAGTACTGCAGTATTTGTATATTGAACGGTATTTTATCCTGGCATAATCTGGTGAAATATAGGGGTTTTTCATTGGACTGGAAAAAGTGGACAATTCAGTCATCTTCCTTAGGAGTTTAGTATATTTTTATATATATATTTTGTACCAAAAAACTGGAGTTCTTGGGAGCGTCTTCTTTTTGTTTTGGTTCTGAGACTGACATAGATGTGAAGGACTCTAGACCTAAGAAGAAAAGGTTTTACTAAAAGCAAGCGAGGCGGTGTGCGTGAAAACAATTGTTCTTGTAACTGTGCCAATTACTACCTGATTTGCATTTATTATTTTTTATTATTAAAAAAGCCAAATCATTCCTGTATGCCACTTCTGATTGCTTTAAACTACACCAGTTTGCTTTTTGGAGAACAAGCGTTGGCTATGTTATTACCTGGGGAATGCTTGAGTTCTTTGTTGGAAACCAGACAGCAGCCCAGCCCACGTTAAATAAGGGCTGCCTCCCTGAAGACAATGCCTGCCCATTGAGCTTGCAGTGTGTTCACGGCAGTGGTTGGGGTTCCCTTGGTGACCCTAGAGTTGGCTCCCTTGCATTTTGTGATGTTTTCTAGTATTTTTGGACACTAATGCTAGTGTAGACTCCAGACCTCTAGGCTGCTTTTAATTTATTTTGCAGGAAAACACTAGAAGTTGGTGTGTCAGACAACTTTGTATAATGTTTTTATTCATGTTAGTATATCAATAAATATTTTTTTAAACTTTTCAAACTACTGTGCAGCGTGGGGTGATGGAGTGTGTAATTGTACTTTTCAGTGACTGTCTCACCACCTTTTTCAGACATTAAGCTTCGTGGCACAGCCGAGAGACATCGTATGATATGGACCTTTCCCTGTCCAGGTTACAGACGGAGTCAGTCGCAGACTAGGACTAGAACACAAGAAGTGGAAGTCAGTCGCCTTGCTCCAACTTCTCCCAGGCAAATCCCCCGGACTGAGCTAAGCTTTAGTGGGGAACAAACCACCCTGATTAGGATGGGGAGAAAGATAAGGAGTTCTGCAAAGAGAGGGAAGGGGGAAAATCAGCTTTCCTGGAGTTTAGCTGTCCCTGACTCTGGGTTAGGTCACTGGGCACTAGAGGTGATGTTATGTGGGGGAGGTGGGGAAGGGCTGTAGCAGGAAAAGCGACCTGCAGCCGCATGGGACAAAGCACCTTCCACCAGCCTCCCACTCATGCTGCATCGTCCCTAATGCAGCTGGGGCTAAAAGGTAGAGCTGGGCTAAGATGGCACCGCCCTTTCTGGAGTTCAAGGGAGGGGCCCACCAAGGTTGGCTTGGCACCCTGCACACTAGAGGGTAGCAGGGACACGTGCTTTGTAACCCGAAGGAGCAGTGCAAGTTGGGCTCTCACCAAGGTGCAGCTTTACATCCCTTTATCGGCACATTTTAGCCCCAGGAGTATGGCCTTTGCTAGTAAAGCTGCTACTCGGTGAATTCCGGTGGAGAGGCCCGTCCCCCCTCAGTTACTCAGCGTGCCCAATGCAGGAGAAGAGGCGTCTGTCCCCGATTTTGGTATGTCCCCTATGCATCATCCCAAGCCTTGTTCTGATCAAAACCCCACCCACCACCCCCCTTTGCCCGTCTCTTTTACCCACTCTGGCTAGGGGCAGCTGCAGCACTTTGGGGCTTCTTAGGAGAGCAAGAGAGACTCAGACCCCCAACTGCCTCCCAAGACCCCCTGTGCTCTTAAAGGGGACCCGCAAAGAAAGGTGAGAGCCGGTACAGCTGTAGGGAGGAGGCTGGAAGCTTTGCTCCTGGAAGGTGTTTCCCTCTTCCAAGGAGGGTTTGATACTTGTCAGTATCAAACCCTGGTTTTGCTGGAGCAGGGGAGAGAGACTCTCAGGGGCCCTGCCTGTCACGGGACAGCCTGGGTAAAGCTTTGCTAAGCGCTTCCTGCAGGATCTGTTCGCTCACCTGAGCGGGGGGAAACTTCCTGGAGCAAAACGGCACTTTGCCCTCGCCGTTCCCAGCCGTTCTGGGGCAGGGGCCGCCCTGATATTACTCATCGGCTGTTAGAAAGCACAATGCGCGTCCTGGGGGCGGAACCGCCCCGGCCCCTTTTCCCAGCCGCAGCAAACGCGGCCGGCTCGCTGGGCTGGCGGGGCCTGGGCTTCCAGCGGAAGACCGCGCTCGCCCCGCGGGAGGAAGCGGCTGCCCCCCCCCCCGCAGCTCCTGCGCCCGGCTCCGCGTACGCTGCGCTGGCGGCGCAAAGGGCTGGGGGCTGAGCGGCACTGGACAGTGCTCCGGGGCCCACGGAGAGCCAGCAGCACCCCGCTGCCCCAGCCCTGGGCCGCGGCAGTACCGCGGGATTCCGCGGCTCCCCCAAGTTTCTTTCCCTCTCCGGGGCGTTGGGGGGAGCCTGGCCCGCGCATCTCCCACCTGCGGAGCAGGCAGAGGAGCGCGCCCCGCGTGCGCCTTCCTGCAGCCTGTGTACGGGGCGGCTCAGCCCTGCCTGCCCACCCGGCTGCTCCCGGGGGCGGGCGGGCGCTTGGCTGCCCGGGGAGGGCGGGGCTGCCGGAGAAGAGACACTAATGCAGCGCAAGGGCGGAGAGAGCCCGCTACGTCCCCGGAGTGGGGGTAACCCTGGTGGGAGCCGGGCGCACACGGGGCCTTCTCTTGCACGCGCTGCGCCAGAACACCTCTTAAAATACCCCGCCGGGGCAGCGCGGACCTTGCGCCGGGCGCAGCAGCCAAGCGAAAATGAAACCAGCCGGGAGGCGGCCGGAGCCCGGGTCAGTGTCTCTGCCCGGGATGTGACCTCTCCTCCCCAGGGCAGGCAGCCTGGGCTCCCGTTCGGCGGCCGGCGCGGACTGAGTTCGCTCCCCACCGCGCTTCAGGCTTTGCGGAGTTAAGGCGGGGAGTCCTCTCCCTCCAGCCGGCCGGCGGGGCCCCGCGGGCAGCGCCGGGCCCCGGCTGTTTGGCTGGGAGTCGCAGCGAGCTCCCAGGCGGGAAGGGGGTTGGTAACTCCGCTTTCTTGCTGTTCCTTTGACGTTTCCAGGGCCAGGATTTGACTCGGCAACGCAGGAAGGAAACAGCCCCAGTCGCTCCTGTTTTGGACTCTCTGGCCCGCAGCGAGAAGACTCCGGAGGAGGAAAGACCCGGGGCCCACCCGGAGCTGGCTGAAGGCTGAGAGTCACGCCGCCTGGTTGGAATCCTTTGCAGGTGACCTTTGTACGTGAGCGCCCCGGCAAGAGCAGGGCCTCCCTTCTCCGTCCTCCTGCCCCCTCCCCGGGCATCTCCCGGCGGTGCCTGGCTTTTCCCCTGCCCAAATCCACCCCTCCAAGTGCCCAGCGCCCCCCTTCCCAGGCCAGTAAACGTGTCTGAAAGGCGAGTCTCCTGCTGGGACCTCCAGGAGAAAAGCGGCATTGTGTGGCCCTTTCTACCTCTCCGCCACTGCGCACAGACAACTACAATAATCAAGGGTTTCGCTCCTTTCACTCAGCGGAGCAGCAAAGGGAGGTTAATGAGGACACAGCTAAAAGCCCAGCCCAACCCCTGCTTTTCTTTGGGCCCGCAGTACATGAAGATTTGAATACAAAGGGCAGATTTCTGGGCGCCCCGCGGAGAGCCCATGGGGGAGGTTTTTCTGTCTTGTGCGTTCCGGGACCCAGACTTGGGACGTTCAAAGCCAGACCCCAGACCCCTAGAAAGCGAGGGGAAGGGGCGGGGAGCCTGGGATACAAACCGGGGTTGAGCGAGCCCCGGGTCTTTCACCAGGCCAATCGGCAGGCTGCGTCCTGTATCAATGCCCTGGCAAAGGGGCCCGGTGAGGCGTTCGTGGGCTTGTTTGCACACCCAGCTTTCCGTGTGCCAGCCGCTTGATGTCCTCCGCCCCCCAGGAGCCGTGTGCTCCGGGATCCCAACTCCAACTGAGCTTGGAAAGCCCGCTGCCTGGTGCCTGGATTGCCTGCGAGGGGCTGGCGAGGAGCCGCCACGCCCTTGAGACCCGGGTTTACGGGCACCCAGAGAGGCAGACCAATGCCTGCCAGGCGCCCAGTGCAGTGATGGTGAGACGGGCGGACTCCTGACCAGCGAGATCCTGGAGCGATCCCGCAGCTCCGGCCGCCTCCATCTCCCCTGCAAGGCCGCCGGGTGCAGAACCTGCAGCCGGAATCCAGAGGCGGATTAAACTGCCGCTGAGGTGCAGGTATCTCTCTGCTGCAGGCCCTGCACGGTCCTGCTCTCTGTCCCACCCCAGGCCTCCGCGACCGCCCGCGATCTGGCGGTAGCACTTGGCGCGCAGGAATTCGGCAGCCCGGCAGCCCCCCTCTGACCCACCGGAGCGCAGACAGGCACCCGAACAATAACCCAGCGGCGTGCGCTTGGCAGGCGCTGGCAACGGGAGCCGCTTCCCGTCCAAACAGAGCCCGAAACGGGGCTCGTTAGGAGAAAGCATCACCCCAGCCCCTGGCACACTGCTCACCTGCAGGCGGCGTCGGCTGGACCATCGCCCCGGCCACACCACGGGGGGAAGCGGCCCGGGACAGGTTGGTGTAACCCGGGCGGTTCGGCTGCCAGGGTGCGCAGCAGACCCCGGCAGGGGAGCAGCAAACGATCCCGGGTTTAAATGCCCAGGTTCATCCCCATCCCCAGGCCCGCTGCGGAGCACAGGGGCGAGTGAAGCCGGGGGTGCTGCGGGCAGGCCAATGCAGCGCCCGCCTCGCAGCTTTGTTCCGGTTCTGAGTCCGGCCCATTTAGACGCGGCTCAGCCCCACTCAGACGGGTGCGCACCGAGACCCACGGGGGCAGCCGGACAAGAGCCGCCCTTTGCTGGCTCCTGGGCGGGGGGGAGGGGGGGTGTCTGGCTGCTTCCATCCACGCCCCTCACACCGAGCGACGGCAGAACCATCTGCCCCTGCGGAGTGTCGGTGGGAAACAACTCCTCCACTCCCCCCTCCGCCAGGAGCCCCAGGAGTTGCCTAGCAATCCGGACATTCATTTCCTAAATCGATTCGTGCATGTTAATGCCTGGCCGAGAGGTGATTTGCAGAGACGGTTTATGGAAGCGGCTGCAGGGGCAGGAGAGCCGGGGGTTCCCGTGCGGAGGGAGCCGGTCCCAGGGGCGGGATGGAGCCGGCCCGTTCCAGCCAGAGCCTAGACATGCGGGGCTGGGTTTGCCTCGTGGGTGCGAAGCCGAGAAGCAGCCGCTGGTGTTGCGGAAGGGACCCGGACCCTCCCCGCGGCGGGGAAGTCAGGTCCGGCGGGGGCCAGGGGCCTCCGGAGCCTTGGCAGCCAAAGGGCGAGGGAGACGCGGGGCTCGTTCGGACGCCAGCGCCTGGGGTCGCGCATCCAGGCAGGGGGTGGGAGGTCCACACCCGCCCCCCCCGGGCACCTTCCCTGCAGAAGCGGCCGCCAGGGCAGGCTCCTCGCTGTTCAACGGCGCTTCCCATCAGCGCAAGTTCCTGTCCTCTCCCCCCGGCCAGGAACAGCCAGTACCGGGGGCTAAGGGAAGGCGAGCCCACATGCAGGGGCAGGCGGATGGGACCGAGCCCGCGTTCCCCCGGGAATCACGCGGGGAGAGAGATGTGCCCGCTAGAAACAAGCAACGTGGAGATTGCAGGGGGAACATAAGAAGGACACGGTTCTATTTACAAAGTATATATTTAAACTCACATAAAAAGCAGGTATGATGTAGACATTCACGGTTGGCAGAAGACACGTATTTAAGCTTCACTTCTGAGACTGAGATTTAACCAGATTTGTTTTTACAA